ATCTTTGTATGCTCAGCAATTTAGCACAGTTTTTGGTACATGGCAGGTGTCTGAAATGGTTTGTTAAATAGCATGCATGATGTAACATTTAACCAATGGAGGTTAAATTCAGACTTAGAAAGTTTAAGACTCTTGTCAAAGTCCCAAAGTGGTGAATTGGAACTCACACAATCCAACTCCAGAATCAAAATTCTTTGTTAAACTAAGCTGCTAACTGGGAAACTTGCCTTCTCTTCCCAAGAGAAGAGAGGGTAGACAGTGTAGAAGAGAGTGTAGACTACACTGAGACAGTGTAGACAGCACAGGAATTCTCTCTCCTGAAGGGCTGTCCCCAGTGGAGTGTGAGTACAGAAGTACAGGAAACGATTCTGGTTCATCAATGTGCCCCACGGCTAGCGACTGCCTGACCAAGGCTGGGGCTCAAAAAACAGTGTTAAATAAATGTCCTACCAGCTTTTTAAAACACATTATTTCAACACTGCTTTCAATTTCTTCCATTTACTGGTCTATTAGTTTTCTATCATCATTTGCATTAAATGGAACAATTTATATTTTCCTCAAAAACTGTCCATTTTATCTAGATTTTCACATTTATTAATATAAGAATCCTCTCATAATTTGTCATTTTCACTCTATTGTTTTACCATCTTTTAAATTATCTTCAAAATGATTGTGATAATCATATTTTATTTTTAGTGCTTTAATACCACTTAGGTTGTTTTCTATCATCTCCTAAACTTTCTATGTTTTCTTTAAATTTTTCCTCTCTGGTAATATGAATGTGGCTTTTAAATTCTCCTAGTATAACTTTTGATGTATTTAAATATTATTTAAATTATATTCCTCAATGCATCAATTTCAGAAATTAAATTTTTTCTACTGATTCTCATTTACGAAAAAAGAAATTAATACTTTTATAAGAATGTCATAGTCCCTGCCATGTCTGTCTTAATCCTTGGTATTTATTGATATAGATTAAAAATTTTATTTCAGTCCATTTGGGTTACATTATTATAATTTTGTCACTAAAGTATATATATTTTGTTTTGAAAGTGAGTTATTAAGAAACACTTTCTAACTATGATTCAAATTCCAGAGACAATTTTTAAAAACATTGATAAATATCTATAATATGCTACCTTTCACGTACAAAGGAAGAAATATAAGAAAATATACATGTATCTGCTCATTGTTCCAAAAAATGTTTTATTTTATCTAATATGGTTAGCTTACATTTTAGAAGTATGTCAACATCTGTTGCAAACAATATGGCAGATTAGATAATTTGACACTCCTGAAAAAAACAATTTTAAAATTATTTAAAAGCTGGATAAAGTATATTTCACAAATATTTTATAATGCATTGCTGGGCTGAGAGGAATGGAGGAATCCGCAGAAATCTAAAAGGAAGCAGATAAAGGAACCCTGTGAGGTAAGCAAATCCCAAACTGTCTTTTTCTTGAGAGCATCAACTAAAGCCTAGATATAGAGTTGACGCTTGAACAACATGGGTTTGAACTGTGTGGATCCATTAATTTATTTCAATAAATGCAGTGGTAGTACTACACATCTGCGGCTGATTGAGTCTGCAGATATGGACCCGTGGATACTGAGGGTCGACTGTAAAGTTATATGTGGATTTTCAACTGCATGGATGGGGCCAGGACCAGCAAAGGGCTATGGGCTCATCTTAGTTTGAAGGGTGAATATACTTACAGCTGCGAGGGGATTACAAGGAAACCAGATTATCTTGGATTTATTGCTGGAGGGAAAATAAAAATCTCCTCTGAAAAATAATAACTGCACATCATGTGGATTTGAGGCTTGAATCTGTACCACTCAGTAGTCTGAAAAAAAATCTCAACTAGATAATTTAATTAAAATTGTCCTGAATTGATACTGCCTTAGGTGATTGACAAAAACAAATACATATCCAATCTCTAGAAATATAACAGGAAAGGAACTTCAACAGCCTCAAGAATATCCATTTAAAAGGGCCAAAGGAATATGATTTATGGTCAATAAATAAAAGGCATGAGCATATAAGTCACCATCGATGAAAGGCAGATGAAACAAAAGCCAAGAAACTAATTTCAGAAAGAATACGAAACAGTACAAGAGAGTATATAGTCATATTTCAAGAAATAAAAGATAAACTTGAAAATAGGTCCAGGGAACAAAGAAAAATGAAGGACTGAAGCAAATCTAAAAAACACCAAAATGTAACTAATTATGGTCAATATATGGAGAGATAATATTTATCAACCTGAATTCTCCATCCAGCAAAAATATCTTTCAAGAAAGCAGTGAAAGAAAGATATATTCAGACACACAAAAATGAGAGAGTTTCTTTCACATCAGCAGATTCTCACTTAGGGAAGTTCTCCGAGACAGAAAAAAAACTGATTCCAAATGTCAGACCTGAGATATAAGAAGAAATGAAGAGCAAAGAAACTGGTAATTAGGTAGATACACCTAAAGAAACACCTCGGTGAACTTCAGACTTCAGACAGTATGTCTTCTTCCTATCCAGAGAAATCACTGGGTTAAGGAAGTAACGAGGGCCCCACTACCTATGTGGAATGCATAAAAGGAAAAACACAGTGAACAGAACACAGTCATTATCCCCTAAAATTATCCTCCCAGGGAGACAAGGTCTCTGCCTTCGTGAGGCTTATATTCTAGTGAGAAAGCCAGATAAGCAAATAATCGAACAAATCACAGATAAATGTGTAATTACAGGTTCAGCTAAATTCTATGAAAGAGAAGTATATGACATTAAGAAAGCATAGCAGAGTGGAATCTGACTTAGGAAGGTCAGAAAAAGCTACAGTTTTGCTATGTACCCTGCTGCTCCTAGGGTTATACGGTTAAACAGGATACACTTGGCCCCTGAGATGCGGGAGAGAAAGGAGTAATGACTCTAGAGAGAACCACATAGAGTATATTAACTGACCTGAGGGGTTTAGAATAAGAAGCCAACTAAAGCCTGCAAAGACATGGTATCCCCCTTCAATTAAGCTACAAAAGGGAATGATAAGTAAAAGTGAAAGAATTAGAATTGATATACAGAGAATTACATTTTGGATTTTGTAGATACAAAAGCATTTTCTAAATCATAATCACGCAAAAGTATGCAAACAATGAAGTGAAAAGTATAGCCAAGTGATTAACAGCATGGGGTTTGGGAATTTAAATCCAGGCTCCAAGAGTCAAGCACCGTTGGAGGTGCCCACACTGCAGACCCAAGCCTCGAGGCGCCCGCTGCTTTTCGACCTCTGCAAACAAGGTCTCCCCATCTCCCCATTCTCCTTCACGTGGAGCAGAAGAGGGCCAACCCACTGTGGCAGCCTTGACTTAGGGTTCATATTATTTCTTTTCAGAATGCTGAGTCCACGATCCAGGTTTCAGTAGAGAATCTGATTGGTCCCCGTTTGGGTCACAAAGAGCTGTGATTGAAGGTCAGGGGTCACATGAAACAAACACGGCTGCCACGGCCAACCCCTGTGGGCTGTCTGGAGATGTCGGGGAAGGAGTAATGAGATGTGGACTATCACAGGTACATGATAAACATACCAGAAATCATAAAAATTACAGCAAATTATATAATAATTTTCTGAAAGGAAGTTTTGATTTTTAAATAAAAATCTCAAATTTTAGAAACAAATTTTTGGAATGAAGAGGAAAGAGATCTGTTTGTTATTTTAGTAGCTTAGCCGTTCTAAAATACTACCGGTATGTAAAACATAAAGTATTTACAAGTAGGAGTAATTCTGAATAATTCAATTTATTAAACCCTCTTGTTGACTGTTTATGCGAAAGGCACTAGGAGAGATGCTAGGTGAATACAGAAATGAATAAAGAAAGGTCCTTGTCCTAAAGAGCTTTTAATTTTGTAACATAGATTATCACAACGCTAGGGCAAACGAGGGCCGTGCAAATGAAGAGGCTCAGTTATGAGCTAAGTCGTTCAGCCAATAAATACTTTTTGTGCAACTACTGCTGTGCTTTGCACTACTCGACTATTCATGAATACTATTAAAAATCTCTCAGACTACTGTCTCTCTATTCCTATTAACATTTTGTATAATATAAATATTATATAAGTATTATATTATAATATTATATAAATATTATACTATATATTTTGTGAGTTTTGATTACTCACAAAAACAAATATCACATTGCAAAAATACATCCCAAACCTCAAATAACAATACCAAACACACAAGAAATACACAGTAAAAGTTTGCAAAATAACCTTGTAATGGAGTCTTATATATTTCGGCTATGAATATAGGTGTTATTGGTTCAGAACACTTTTCTAAAATGTTACATATGTGTTAATACCATAATAAAACTCAAATGCCAGTAATGGAATGCCTCGAAATATTTTTTAAAGTGCCTATGCAAGCTGCACTTGACAGCGGACTGTGCTTGCAGTGAGTCAAACCAGAAACACAGGGTCTGCCTGGCGCACCAAAGACTGGACCAGGCACCCCTGGGAAGCCCCATACTACCAAACAGTCTGAGCTACAGCCACCACAGCTCAGGAATCTATACCTAGCAACTCTATCCCTGCACTTTTAGAGTCATCTTAAAAAATATCTAAAATATTCACATAAAACTTCTGCTCTCATTTTCTTCTACTGCAGATTATGTGTGAGAAAAGGGCATAGACAGTCCCTGACATCCCAGCCCACAGTGATGAAAGAATTTCTATACCAAACAGTAAGTCTAGAAACGCCATGCAGAAAATAGGATACCACATCCAAAACCAAAACAATAAAAAATATATGATTTTATGCCTAAATGTCACCATGTTGGCAAAATTCCCAACTGGTAATAACTACATATAGAAACAAAATACAAAATGAGCTTTAAGGTACTTAATTATGATACCTCTATTAAGTTGTTTGTAACATAATAGTTTATCTTTTATAAAAAAGCTTGTAACATTCTCTTATCTAGAGCACCTATATCTAAATTTAGATACTTACATTATTACACTCTCCAAGGAAATACAGTGCAAATCCATCAGCTTTTGTGGCTGCCAAAGTAATAAAAAAGGAAGAAACTAATCTCAATGGAAGAATATAACATGCATGAATTCTCTAAGGTGAGACCTCAAATATGAGTCTTTTGAATGGATTTGTTAGCAAAATTAATGGTCATGCAGTAAATTGAACAAAATAATTTATGGCTTTACTGAATCACATAATTAGAATATTTTCATTAGCTATTGCAACTTTTTAGATGTGACACCCTCAAATGCATACAGCAATGTACTGTGTAATAATACATTTGTCAAAATGTGAATATCAGAACTATTAGAAAATATTTTTTAAATATGAGACTTACATTTAATTTTTAAAGTATTTAAAAATAGACAAAGTGATATTCATAATACTGGATAACCAATAAAATAGGCATCAACCGGAAAGAACGATGTACATATGCTTACATATCATCAGCGAAGAGAACATAATTTAACTTTATCTTCGGTTTAATTTTTCTACTAGGAGGAATATAAAACCTTTCTTACCAATTTTAATGATGCTACTCAATTCATAGAGGAGTAGTTGGTTGTCTCCTCCTGTATCCAACCGTTGTTCTATATAGCTGTTTAGTTCGTATACAACTCCCTGCATATTTGTATCTTGATACTTTGAATAAAAAAAAAAAGACATAATTAAATATAATAAAATAAAAATTCCTTAGTTTGTAAAACAGACTATTAATATATATGGCTTTATGTTATATAATAGCTATTCATTATGCTTTTATAGAGCATGATTTAAATATTATGATCTACTATAAACACAGATTGAAAATTAAAATTGCTACAACTTACTCAGAATGATCTATAGACTCCATGCATGCTTATTTATGTTAAAACATCGAATGTTACAAATTACAATTTTGTTTCTGAAGTTTTATATTGATGTATGATGTATCAGGCAACTAGATCAGTAAAAATGTAGGAAGAATCCCATTGGAAGAGAATAAGTAATCTACACGGTGTGAAGGAAGGCAGTGGTCACGGTGCAGAAAGGAGAGCTGGGACGGCTGACAGTAAATGCCTTTGGAGGGAGAGGGCTACCTTTTAAATAGGATGGTCAGGGAAGGGAAGGTTCAGTGACATGAGATATAGGGACAGACTCCAATGAAACTTAGAACCCGTAAGGGCTGAAGTCTGCCCATCATCCACCACCTCTCTTGGCCTAAAATTCTATCCCTAAGCATTTCTTTTTCATGAATCAATCCATTCTTCAAATACACCCTCTTTTTTGTGGGGAAGGGATACTTTAGCTAGTTTTTTTTTTTTTTTTTTTTTTTCTGTGATGCGGGCCTCTCACCGTTGTGGCCCTTCCCGTTGCGGAGCACAGGCTCCGGAAGCGCAGGCTCAGCGGCCACGGCCACGGCTCACGGGCCCAGCCTCTCCGCGGCACGTGAGATCCTCCCGGACCAGGGCACGAACCCGTGTCCCCTGCATCGGCAGGCGGATTCTCAACCACTGCGCCACCAGGGAAGCCCCTTTAGCTAGTTTTAAGGTGGGTGTTTAGTCACTCAATAGAGGAGTCCCTATAAAAATGATATACAGAGTGACCCTTTTCTCTGACAATGTAATTCTGAGAATAGGCCCTTTAAAATGACCAGAATGCAGTGCTGACATTAAGGACCAGCTGTTCTCCATCTCTTTTGGACAGGAAATGGGTTGTCACACACAAGTGAGAACAAGAAGACATTTGGGGTTATGGATAGTTTATCATGAGATTTCCTTTCAAGTCTCTGGGCTTCATTTTTTTCATTTGTGTAACAAGAAGATTGAAATATATTGTCTTTAAAATACCTTTCCAACAGTAACCTTCTGTGATGATCTATGACCTCGATTTTGTTGTTGTTTGTATTAAGCTTCAAATTCTAATCTTGAACCTAACAGATGGGTTAGTACACCCTGTTTGCTTTGATTAGCAATGACAATTGCATAAATCTCATAAGAGAAAAATGTTTAATTATGATTACTAAACTATACAAATGTAATATATTACCTCTAAAATATTAAAGACCTACCTTCATAGTTAGTGGATCATTCAAACCATAATATATTGAAACTTTAAAATTATATATAAATGTGAATAACAGGAATAATTATTATTTGGTTCTTAGCCTTATGGCCATCTTGCTGGTCACGAGCCCTAACACGAGAGGGAAGGAAGACGCAACAAGTGGAGATGAATGTCAAAAAATGCACTTCTCTTATGGAAACAACACGATGCAGAAAGTTTACTAAGGGATCAATTCCATTCAGTTGAATAAACTTTCAATTCTATGTCTTGACTAATAGAAAATTACAATAGTATATTAATGAAGTTGTTAAGAACTTGTGTTTGCACAGCATTTTTAACTTCACAAAGTCCTTTCACCACTGCCTTTATTAAAAGAACCCATATAAAGTATATACTGAGTATCACTGAGACATTCCTCAATCAAGATGAGTTAGAACTCTAAGGTACAATGAGTTGGGCGGTAATAAACCTTAGAATCAAACTGGACATGGCCAACCTCATTTTCTGTGCCACGCTGGTTTTCATGCAGTACTTGCTTTTCATTAGAGCAACCACTAAAAAAATGGATTTGCAGAGATATGACTTCATTGACAGGACTGTAGTGACCTAACATTAAAACTGGGAACTACGTCAGGTTACTACTGAAACTGTGAGCTCCAGCAAGCTCTGACAGACGGTATTGTTTCCCATGAAACTGTAGTATGTCCTAAACCATCCCTGTGGGTTTGTTGTGGTGCCTAATGGCATTTGGAACACAATTTGGGAAGCAGGGGCACAGCCACTCTTTCACCCAGAGGGAAATAGTATTTTATGAGACACAGTGGTAATGAATGGAGGAGTATTAACCCTTGGTTCAGAAAGAAAGCTGAGACCTGGTCTCACCAGAAGAGTAAATGGCCTCAGACTTGCTAAAGTGAATTAGGTGTTTAAACACAGAGTTTAGAGGCAATTCACCACAAGAGTTTAGAGGCAATTCAAGAATGGAATGGGAGAGAGAACAAGATAAAGTCTGTGATGCCTGCTGGCCCCAAGAGCCCATGACTCCGTGAGGGGTTACTGACATATCTCGAAGCACTGTAACAGACGCACTAGAAAACAGAGTGACATGGGTGTTAAGGTGGATAAATACTTAAAAGCATGCAAAATGAGCTCTTAGTTTCCAGTATAAAGCTCAATGTTTGAATAATATCTTCTCATCATCGTTCTTTAGATTTTTCCTGTTTCTTTTTCAAATTTACCTTTTTTAAAAAAATAACTTTTTGTCTTGACGTAATTTCAAACCTACAGAAAACTACAAGACTAGTACAAGAAACTCCTGCATACCAGCAATTATTGACATTTTGTCATATTTGCCTTATCCTCTTGGTAAATTCTTTCCCTTCCTTCCTCCCTCCCTCCTTCCTTCTCCTTCTCCTTTCTCTCTCTAGCTCCGTCTTTTCTGTCTGTCTATACACACACACATATATAAACACAACAGTAATAAATATTTTTTTCTGAATATTTGAGAACAAGTTGGTATGCTCCTTTTACCCAAACCTTCAGTATATACTTCCTAAGAAAAAGAATATTAAGAGAATACACTGAATTTGTACACTGAATGTGAGAGACATAGTTACAATGCAGTTATCATAATCAGAAAAATTAACATCGCTACAACAATATATTAGCTAATTAAAAATTCACACTCATAGAGAACAAACATGTGGACACCAAGGGGGGAAATTTGGGGGTGGGGGGTGGGATGAACTGGGAGATTTGGATTGACGTGTATACACTAATATGTATAAAATAGATGACTAATAAGAACCTGCTGTATAAAAATTTAATTAATTAAATTAAAACTTAAAAAATTCACATTCAAATTTCATACCTTGTCCCAATAATGTCTTTATAATTATCCCCTGCTCAGTGGTCCAGGTTTGAACTCCAGATCATACGTGGCATCTAGTTGTCATGTCTTTTGGGTATACTTTAATGTGGAACAATTCCACAGCCTTTCTGTGTTCAAGCCTTTCTTGAACTTGATGTTTTTGAAGAACATGGGCCAATTGATTTGTCTGATATTTTCTCAAGATTAGATTCAGGTTCTGTGTTTTTGGCAACAATACAATGAGGTGATGAAGCTAGAATACTATCAACCATCCTACATTTGCTATCTGGCATTCTACTGGGAGGAAGAGCTTTCTGTTTTCCCTCATTCATTCATTTACATGAGCCTGGACTCACAGATGCTTATTTTATTCAACATGTGTAATTAATATTAATTAATACTGTTATACATGCATTTTAATGCTCAAATTGTCCCAGATTTGACCAATGGGAAGCCCTTTAAGATATCTCCTATGCCCTTTTGACAAATTTTCATGATGCTTTCAAGACTTTCTTACTTTCTCATCAAATATTTTGCTAGCGCTTGAACCAGCCATTTCTGTTTCTTAAAAGAAGTCCTAGATCCTTTTAGTGGCAAGTGATATTTAAAATCTAAGAGCTGGAGCTATATGTGCCCACTGCTGTCATTGCTTCTAGGCTTCGCATCAACACAAATATAATATATATATATGAGAGGGCCTTATGTAAATATATATACATATATATATATATATATATACACATATATACAAATATGTAATTCTTTACTTATTTATTTATAAATACACGTAGAGTAAAAGATTAAAAACTATGAGTTCTTACTGATACTTTCAATTTCAACCAAACACCACAGTGTACACATTCTAATATTCCCCATTTCTATATCTGTAATTCCTCACCCAACAATGAAATATCTTACTGCCAATGACTATAACATATTTACATATTTTCTCAAGCCTAGAACATACGGAAGTAGTTTCAGAACTGTTAAGCCGTGTCACTGAAAATAGCGAACCTACTAACTAGTTGTCAATATGTTTTAGATTTTTAGGTAAATGTAAGAAATACTAAAATATACAAAAATGAAACGTACAATTCATTAAGTTTTGACAAACAGATACATTCTTGTAACATATACACTAATTAAGACACACAAAATCACCATACAGGAATTAGTTGCATTTCTATTCACAGACTATCTGAAAAAGCAATTAAAATAACAATCTCATTTACAATAGTATGAAAAAGAATAAAATACTTAAGAATAAATTTAACCAAGGTGGTAAAAGATCTGTATGCTAAAAATTATAAAACATTGATGAATGAAATACAAGAAAGCACAAATGAATGAAAAGATACCCCCATACTCATGAATTTGAAGAATTAATATTGTTAAAATGTCAGTGGTATCCAAAGTGATCTACAGATTAATGCCATCCTTATCAAAATTCCAGTGGCATTTTTCTTAGAAATAGAATAAACAATCCTAAGATTGTATGGAACCATAAGAGGCCCTGAATAGCAAAAGGAATCTTGAGAAAGAAGAAAAAAGGTGGAAGCATCACACGTCCTGGTTTCAAACTATATTATAAAGCTATAGTAATCAAAAGAGTATGGTACTGTCATAAAAAACAGACACTTACCAAATGGAACAGAATAGAGAGCCCAGAAATAAACCCATGCATACAAGGTCAACTACTCTTTAACAAGGGCAACAAGAATACACA